GATGCTCACGTTTAAAAGTTGTTCTGGCAGAGGAGAATGTGGAAGGGAAAGATGTTATGGAGCAGTTTAAAATGAATGAAAATGAAACATCACAGAGGGAGAAAATGATCAGTGATAATCAAAAGGAATTTTTTTCTAGTTTTTTCAAAATGAGGAAGAAAAAGAGATTCGTGGTTATGAATGGTGATGTTACTCCGACCAGTTACATGTTTTTTTAGGAAGATGCTTTTGTGAATTTCAAGAAAATAAAACCTGGGAAGATGCTTTTGTGAATTTCAAGAAAATAAAACCTGGGGCGGCGCGACTGCTTTATTTTACCTCACTACAAGTATGTATATATATAGTAGGTTTGCTACTTACTTTTTTTTGTGTCATTTGTAACATGGGTTGGGTTTTAAAATAATGGAGAAATGAGCTTCAAAAGAATGGTAACAAAACAATGGGTTTATGGATTAAATTAGAAAGAATTTGAACTTAAAATAAATTAAAATGAATTTGTAATTGGATTATCTTTGAAACTTGAAATAAATTGGAATGGAATTGAAATTTGAAATTAATTAGAATTGAAACTTGAACTTGAAATTGAACTTGAATTTTGATTTAAATTGGAAATGTATTGAAACTTGAATTTTGTTTGAATTGAAATGAGGTTGAAACTTGAATTGGTTTTGAATATGAATTGAAATAGAAATAGGATTGGATTGAATTTGGAACTTGAAAATTTGAATAGAAAGAAGTTTGAACTTAATGTCTTGAAATTTAACTTGATACTATTTATTGCATTTGGACTAATGAAATGGTTCAACTTGGTTGAATTGTCCAAAGTTCTTTGAATTAATTCCAAGCAAAACCACTTGAAACCATTCTTAAACATCTCTGAATTCTCCCTAAAATCAATCTGGAGATGAACTGAAACCTCGATTCAAATCTTGAGAAATGAACCACTTGGAAATAAATATGGAATAAGTGACACTTCTGACTTGTACCCAAAAATCATCCTCGAAACTGATTTTTAGTATCTTGAACCCTGCATCGAAGTCGTACCAAAAATGTATTGAAAACCTGAAACAATGCCATGAGAAATAACACCACATCCTGATTTCATCTTGAAACAGTCTTGAATTGAATAGTAAGTTGGAATTCTCCTATGACAAGAACATGAACCACATAATGGAACTTACAAATAACTTGATAAATTAACCAAATGCCTCGAATTTTCATGGCTCTGTAACTTAATTTCATCAGATAACTTGAATTTCGCACAAAACCCTGATCTGGATCCTCAAACATAAGTACTTGAATTTAATCCACACTTATCTCCAAGATAGCCAATGACACAAACGTTTTGATATATGAACTGTGTTGCCACTGCAATAAAACCCTGATTGAAACAGAAATGAATTTTAATGATTCTTCAACCATGAAACACTGATGAACTCGACTTAGCCTGACCACTTAATAAAGCAATAAACCACTTGTTTGACCAAGATTAGGTCAAACTTCCATTGAATTTCAACCAACATTGCACACATCCTTGATCTGATAACTTCGTCGAAACTCGAATCAATCTTGCAAGACCTGAGCATAAACAACACAAAAAAGGTACATATTTTGTATGCACAATGGTTAGATGGCATGAATGATGGATATGATGCACAGATGATGAAAATGATATGATATGGATTGTCGACAATTCAGGGTCAAAATTAGGGTGTAACACCAAGCCTTTCAATACACCAACTAGCTCAAAATAACTCCATTTATCAACATCTACTCTTAAATCATCTACTAGTCCATCTTTATATACACTAAGTCCTTCATCAGTGAATTCACCACTATGATGAATTCTGAGATTTATGTATTCATCCATTATACCTATTCATATTACCTAAGTGATTAGAGTTTACACTAAAACAGTTACATAAACCCTAAAACTGAACAGAACCATATATTACCTTAACACAGTCGTAAACTCTAGAACAAATTGAAATTTATTAACCTTTTGATAAAAGCGTCTTCAATCGTCTTTAGTCCGTCACATCTTTGATAAAACAACCCTATGCGTCTTCAATCTGTCACGTCTTCACTGAGATTTCTCCCTTCAATTCGTCATCCCAACAACAATTTTAGGACTTTGTCGCATAAGTGTCTGGGCTAATAAATGATACATTACACTTGGATTATTATATTACATGTTATATCCACATCAACAACAAAAAAGCCATTCGGACAAACGTGGCACCATTTTACTAGCTTTGACTAACGACAACACACGGAAGGACAAATGTGACACCATTTTAAAAGTTAAAGGACCTACTTGCCACTTTTTAAAGTTAAGGGACCAAACTGGACCTTGAGGTATAGCTAAGGGACGAAAAAGAGTATTTTACCTTAAATTAAATAAGATTTAATGTAGTTATGTGTTAATAGTATTTAAATTATTTAATATATTAACATATATATAATATATTTGATTAAAAATGATTGAATTAAATAAATGACAATTGACAGTTAATTAAATTAAATATGATTTAATTTAATTATTTTATATTATTTAATTAAAAGAGTTTAATTAAATATAAATAAAATTAGGGTTATTTTTGGAAAAGTCTAAATAAGAGCATTAGTGTTTTAGTAACTCTCTATAAATATAAAAGCTCTTTTCCCTCTAATCCTAGTTTTAGTTTTTGTCACTCTAAAAAAACAGTTAGCATTGTCTTCCACTTTATTCTCGAGTGAACTGCATAGAGACACCAATATCTTATGTCGTTTGTGATCAAAGATAAATCATGCTTCAAGATGTATTCTTTGAATCCTTATTTTGGTTTTTGATTTGTGATTAATAGTTTAATCAAAACCAATTTATCGGGATTATTCCGCTAAGAGGATCAATTTTTAATATAAAAAACCCTCTTAAACCTCTTCATTAAGTATACCATCAATGTTTGCAATACTTTTTTGAAATGATACTATGATTTAACCCAATTTCAACTTTAACATGATGTTCACAACATCCCAACTTCTGCATAAATCTCCTCTACTGGTAATCAACATGGTTTTTAATCTCAAGTGAGCAGAATCAACCATAAAAAACATAAATAGAAAATGATTTCATTATTTGATAATTTGTGATGTTATATATTGAAAGACACATCTATGTACCTATTCTTTGCCGTGTTTTCTAAATAAGTGGCTCTATTAGTCCATGCAACAACAAATCTTTCTTTATAGGGTCTCAACCATGTTTCATGCATATACTGGACAAATAAAGGAATGTCAACACATACAACCTCAAAATACATAAGGTATTCCACAAACTCATACTCCCTATTCGAATACATGAATGCATATGAGCTTCAACATACTCCTTACAATTCATACTAACATTTTTTAAAATATAAAACAAACACAATAGATGAGTTGGGTTTGGGAACATAACTTCCATGACATTCATCAATGCCAATTTCTGGTTCGTCACTAAAATCCTCGATATCAACTTCTAGGAAACAAACAACTCTTTCAACTTCTCTAGGGCCCAAGTGATTTTTTTCCTTCCTTTCATGTTCCATATACACAAATCCAATAAAAAAAGCCAACTTCATGGATGTAACACCAATAATCTCAAGTAGTGGTAGTCGATACCTGTTTGTATGTACAATAAATAATCAACAGGTTCCAACCCATAATCAAATAAATGAAAACTTGTGTTATTGGGGGATTCAATGCCTACTAATTTTGTATGTATAATAAAAAACCAACACAAAATTAAACACGTTCAACAACTTCACTAAATCAGGATGTGTAAAAAAGATATCAAAAACAATATTTGAATCATCCTTGTTTGTGGTCCAATACATGCATTTCTCTTCACGAAGAAGACTCGACAAATGTTTCATTTTAGTCAAGAGACTTCTCTTACTCGTCTTGTATGTATATCTTGCCTTATACACTTGAGTAACACCCGTGAGATTTTCTAGATCTCTATCTTTCAAAGCAGCTATTATGTACCTAAGAGTCATATTGTATTTTGTCATTGTCATTCACAAACTCTCTTTCATCATCTTTTAAATGACCTAATACGTCATGACCATCTAAGTTCTTAGTTAGTGTATGGTTGTGAAACCCACACCTACCCATAACTTTCTAACATATACAAAATATATGTCATTTACAACATATACAAAATAAATTATCAATGTCAGAGATACTGAAAGCCTATTAAGTTACGAACAAGTCAAAGGGAAAACATGTAAGTAAAATATACAACATCATTGGTGAAAATTTGTGTAAAATCTGCAGGGGATTCATCAGGATCTAGACGAACAAATGAAGTATTTTGAACTACTAGCTTTTTTGTAATAGGCGAAAAATCCAATATACCAAAATTTTCAAAATATCCAATTTTGTGGGTGTATATATCGGATTTTTAGAAATAACAAAAAAAAATAGTAAATTTACTAAGAATATTGATTTTTTTTTTCAAAAAATGTAGTATAGCTATATCATAGTTTTTGACAAATGCAAATAATTTCAAAAAAATATCTTATTTTTCGAAAATATGCGATAAAGATGCAATAAAATATAAGATATATTTTTTTAAATTCAATAGATTCTACCGATTTTTAAAATATCTAGTAAAATTGCATGAATTCTACCTTTTTCAAAAAGAAAATTCATTCCAAATTTTTATGCATAAATATTGGATTTTTTTCTTCTTCTTTCTTTTTACCAACATTCCAAAATGAAATTTTTTGATCCAATATAAAATTTGAAAAGTAAATAATGGTAATGTTAATTTTGCCTTATATTAAAAAGTAAATAATGGTAATGTTAATTTTGTCATTGTAAAAATATGTGGAGGGTGCCAAGATAAAAACTCCAAATATAAAATGGGTTAAACATGGCCCAATTGTACCCGAACTCACCTTCAATTTAGGGTTTTACATTTTGTCTTCTTCTGAAATATTTCCCAACTCACACTCCACGAAACAATTTCTACAATGGCCATCTTCAAGGTAAATCCAATCAACAGATTTTCTCCCATAACCTCTTCTCTTATTTTGATAACTTGATTGACACCAACCATTCATTTTTGTCTTCCATGCTTCTCAATTCCAATTGATGACAATTATTTGTTTTTTTTCAATTTTTTTTCCTCAAAAGTTATATTTTTCTGATGCATTGGAGAGTTTATACTAAAGGTTATTTCGTTTTTTGGTGGTTGTGATGAATCAGTATCACCAGTACCAGGTTGTGGGGAGAGGTCTTCCCACTGAAACCGATGAACATCCTAAGATCTACCGGATGAAATTGTGGGCCACCAATGAGGTGCGTGCCAAATCCAAGTTCTGGTATGTCACAACCTTAATATTGTGATTCTCTTTTAAACCTAAGCAAATGTTGTGTTTTTTGTATTCTATATGTTGGCATGTTTTTGCATTGCTCTTTTTGGGTGTGATGAAAATGTTGGTTCTGTTGATTGATTAATAAATTGCAATTTTTTTGGTTTCTGTTAAGGGTTACCGGTGATCATGTTTCTTGTTCTTTTTTTTAAATTATTGTAGGTATTTTTTGAGGAAGCTGAAAAAGGTCAAGAAAAGCAATGGGCAAGTTCTTGCCATCAATGAGGTATGCATTTCAATTTATGAAAAATAGTGTGTTTGGGCACCGACACGACAGCAACACTTGTGATTACATTCAATTTATTTATTTTTTCAATTTATTACTGGGGTCGTGTCATGGTCAGGGTCTTTTTGTATCGTTATATGTGTTTGTGTCTGTGCTTTATAGGATAGGATTCATATGATTGTGAATCAGTCTCATTTATACTTAGAGATCAGTTTCATTTCTACTTAGAGATCGAAGCTTCTGTACAAAGTTTAGTTGTAGTTTTCCTTTTGCAAAAGTTACTCCTATATGGTAAAATAGGATAATGAATTAAATATCAAAGAATGTGAGAGAACATCATATTAACATTTTTTGTGAAAAAGACTAGAAAATCTAACCTACGGCAGTTTTGAGGAATATCTAACAAATTAGAGTACTTGTTAGGAATTTGACTCGGGGAATGTTATTTATGCTTAATCACCCGTTGCATTCTACACATTTATGTCTTTGTTTTTCTTCTATTGAAGAATATCTAACAAATTAGAGTACTTGATTCATACGTGGAGAAGACTTATAAGAAGTGTAGATTATATGTATGGTAGTCTAATGCGAGATTAAGTTCAAACATTAAGAGGGGTTTATATTAAAACGACATCTTTAGAAATGATTTACAACGAGACATTTTGGTGTGTGATTCATGTTGTATATACTTAGTCAACAAACACTCGTTCTGTTGTATATGAACATTGGAAATAATGATTCCATTTAGTTTTCTCAATGCTTGTTAGGAATTTGACTCGGGGAATGTTATTTATGCTTAATCACCCGTTGCATTCTACACATTTATGTCTTTGTTTTTCTTCTATTGAAGAATATCTAACAAATTAGAGTACTTGATCATCTGTTTTCTTCGGTCTTATCTTTCAATATTTCATCATGCTTTCCCTTTCTTAATACCAGCCTATTAGGACCAAGACTGGTAAAATTGTGAAGTTTGTACGAACTGTAGAATTTGTGATGAAAGAAGGCCTTAAGCATGGACCCTTAAGATAATTTGGTAGTGGAACAGTGTAACTGAATTTTCATATGGCCTCTGGCTCGCAGCACAGACAGACGCACACGCACATGCATTGGGAAATGTTGATTGGGTGGATCAGGGATGTTGTGTGCTACTAATATCATGAGGCACATATCATAAATTTTAGGAGTAACGCTGCACAGCACCAATACTTTAGATTAAAGGTGTGTCTGGTGTCAAACACCGACACATGTGGTTACATTCCATTATTCCACTTTCTCTAGTTATTACCGGTGTCAACGTGTATATGTTGTGTCCGAAGAGAGTAAGTCAATGTAGGAAAGACTATTTAGAACCAAATTCCTAGTTTTAGTGTTAAAATTCTATAGGCTTTAATTACAGAGGATGATGTATACTCTTTGCTCATTGCAGATTTATGAGAAAAACCCTACAAAGATTAAGAACTATGGAATATGGCTGCGATACCAGAGTCGGACCGGATATCACAACATGTACAAGGAATACCGCGACACTACACTAAATGGCGCTGTTGAATCTATGTACAACGAAATGGCATCACGTCATAGAGTCAGGCATCCATGCATTCAGATCATCAAGACTGCTACAATCCCAGCCAACCTTTGCAAAAGGGAGAGCACTAAGCAGTTTCACAACTCCAAAATCAAGTTCCCATTGGTGTTCAAGAAGATTAGGCCCCCGACCAGGAAGCTCAAGACAACATACAAGGCAACAAAACCAAACATGTTTATGTAATTCTCGGTTAATTACGCATTCTGCTTGTCGTTTTGAAGCTGTTTGATTTGTTATAAGCATTGAAAGAGGTTTGAGAAGGTGAATCACATAGTAACAAACTTGCATTCTTTCAAAGCTCTGAATATCGAGTTTTGGAAATTTTGATGTCTTGTTTTGATTGTTATTTTATTTTGCTTATCATTGAGGATTTGTTAAGAGTTGGTTTTGAATCTAGAGATTTCATTTTGACATGAATTAATGCTTTTTTCTTTTCGTTTTTTTCCTTCCAATTTGAACTTTTTCTTTTGGTGACATAAAAGGAGACTGTTTATAGATAACCACAGACAAGGTTGGTGTTGTTTCAAGACAAGCCATCTTAAATAAAATCATATTCATTCCATCTTAACAATGATCATAATTTAATCATAATAATAAATTAAAGTGAAATTTAAAATAAAAAGTTTAAAATTGACTACCTTTAAACAGCAAATATGAGATTTTTAACTACACAATAATATTAATACTAATTATGAGTTTTACAACCAGTATGCTAAAGTGAACGGGTTTGCAGTTCGCAAGAGTAAGATCCTTTGAAGCAAGAAAGGAGAAATATTACAGCGAACATTTGTTTGTCACAGACAGGGGTTTAGGGAGGACAGAGGTTTAACGATAGAAAATCGTAAGCGTGAGTGTAAACCTGAGACTCGGTGTAGATGTGAAGCAAAATTTCGAGTGCATATAGACATGGTCTCAATGTTGGTGGATAACAGTTTTTAACGATCAACACAATCATGAGCTTTTAGATGAAGAGTACCATGGAATGCTTGCTTCACATCGAACAATGAAAGAGTCAGATATAATGCAGATGAACGACATGTTGAAGGTTGGTATAAGGCCGTCTCAATTCTATGGTTCTTTTGCCAACCAATCAGGAGGGTATGAAAAAATAGGGTTTCGTAGGAAGGATATATATAATCAAATAGGAAAGCAATGCCTTTTGCAACGATACGATGGTAAAAATGTTTTACACTATCTTTGTGGGCTGGCATCAGATGACCCGATGATGTTTTATCGCCACACTGTTGATGGAGAAGGTAGGCTTGAACATCTTTTTTGGTGCGATGTTATAAGCCAAATGGATTTCAAAGTTTTTGGTGATGTGTTGGCATTTGATGCAACATACGGGACGAACAAATACCATTGCCCCTTAGTGATATTTTTTGGAGTTAATAACCATAATCATAATATTATATTTGGTGGTGCTATTGTTGCAAATGAAAAAGAAGAAACATATGTGTGGGTTCTTGAACAAATTTTAGAAGCAATGTCAGGTAAGTCGCCTATATCTGTCATTACTGATGGCGATCTTGCAATAAAGAAAGCAATACAAAGAGTGTTTCCGAATGCTTATCATAGGTTGTGTGCTTGGCATCTAATTCGCAATGCAATGTCTAACATTGGAGTTTCTGAATTTATTAGTCAGTTTAGGAAATGCATGTTGGGTGACTATGACTTATGCGAGTTTCGGCACAAGTGGGATGAGATGATTGACACATTTGGGTTGCATGACAACAAGTGGGTAACTGAACTATATGCAAAGAGAAAGATGTGGGCTACAACTCATATACGCGGAAAGTTTTTTGCTGGGTTCAGAACTACCTCCCGGTGTGAGGGGTTACATTCAGAAATGGGGAAGTTTCTTCACTCACGGTATAATTTAACTGAATTTTTATTACATTTTCATCGGTGCCTTAATTACATGCGCTATAAGGAGGTCGAAGTTGACTTTGCATCAAATTACGGCGATCCTGTGCTACAAACAAGATTTTAGAGCATGGAGCGTTGCGCTGGGAAGTTATTTACAAGAGAAATATTCTTTATGTTTCGTGATATTCTTGCACGGTCCACAAAGATGGTAGTGGCAACATGCAATCAAACCTATACATGCTTTATATACACAATTTGCAAGTATCAAGCATCAAAAAGGGAGTGGAACGTATCATTCTATCATAATGATGACATGTTTAAATGTTCTTGGAAGAAGATGGAATCATTTGGCCTCCCGTGTGAGCATATTATTGCACTATTGATTTTTTTAGATGTCGCAGAATTGCCAAAGACTCTAGTGGCTGATCGATGGACAAAGAACACGAAGGAAGAAATATGTAGCACAAATAAGCATCTTCCAAAATACTGGGATTCATACAAGTCATCAAGATATTGTGCACTCATGTTTCAATATATGCGTTTGAGCAAATTAGTAAGTGAGAATGGTGATGATTTCAATAACCATATGAAACAAGCTGCTGCTGATATCCGAAAGATGGAAGAAAAAATGGGCTTACATGATGGTGGAGCCACAAATTCAAGTGAAACTGTCCATGAGACATTGAAGGATCCTGCTCTAGCTAGAACTAAAGGATGTGTTGGGGAATCTTCAACAAGTCAGAAAAAAAGGAAGCAGACTCAATGTTCTACTTGCAGAAAATTCGGGCATAATAAGCAAACATGTTCAATACCTCGACATCATGCTAACATGACACATTCGTCACACGGAGATTTTCACAACATTGAATTCAGTGATGACTCTGTAAGCAATTTCTTTAATGTTGTTATTTAATGGTATCATTGTTATAATTATATAGTTATAATTATATATGGTTCTTGCAGTTGCATAACGATCTTGATTGAAGATAGAACAATATTAATCTCGAGCTTTCCGAACAACAACATCCAGAGCGTTCTAAACAACATCCAGAGCTTCCCATCAGCCATCAGCCTATGCGACCATAGTTAGATTATGCTTTTTATGTGATAATTAGATACTTGAAAGTTAGACTATCGTGATTATGGATATCAGTTTTAGTTAGAATCACAAAGTTGTGTGAATGTGTACTATTTAAGCTTATGCTTATTAGAATTTTATTTGAAAGAATATTTTGTTCATGACCTTTCAAGTAGTTATGCTTGGTGAGATTATCTTGAAGATGTTGATACAACCTTTTCAGGTTACAGATACCAGGATGATTTAGTTATATGTTTAATTAGTTGTATCCTATGATAGCTCTCAATTAGTTTCTAACAGGTTCTTGAAGTCTTTCTTTCCAAGGGTTGGTTTGATTATTAGCAATCATAAATTGAAATTAGAAATGGTTGGACTACTGATATCAACTTTTATCCTGACATACACATTCAATTTTGTGCGTTAGCATCGGAGAATTGGTCCCTATTAAATTTGAACTTTTCAAGTTTTGTCCATTTTCAGAAAGTGCTCGTTTTCATATTAAACTCAGTGCTCTTTTTCATATTTGATGAATTTAGTTAATGCTCATGGTTTCATAAAGAATCGTGGAAAGATACCCTTATTCATTCCCTTTTTTTGTTACTACAAATTTGATTCAGTGTTAGGGGTTTAAACAGTGGTTGCTATAAATGGTTTACTCTGTTGAATTTATTAGCTGCATTTTTTGTTTTGTTCTGTTTTGGTTCACTTCAATTGTAAGATTGCAAAAAAGGAAATGAAAAAGATATAGGCAAAGAGGTCTAATTAGTAATATAACACTCAAGGTGTTAAAAAACAGTTTGTTACCGAGAAGACGGCTTCGACAAACGGTATTGAAAGTTGCAGATACTATACCGTTTTCACCGTTTTTTGATAATGAACGAATTGTGGTTAATTCACACTGTGACGTCTACAATTACTGTCGCAACACCTATACCGACCAAAATTGCGAAGCCTTTACGCAACTACTACCGTTATTTAAAACCTTGATTGCACTTCTAATAATAGCGTGTTCAGTATCATGTTACAAGGACGCTCAACACGCGTTGAATCAACTCTCAAATATTTAGTTTCCAACCGTCTGTGCATTAGCAATGTGATTTTTATCTTTCCCAAACACACTCTATAGGCATGTGTTTTGTTAGAAGCTAGAGTTGTAGCTTCTCCATTTCGACGGTGATTCAACTGCAGCTACAATGCTTGCTGCACAGAGTATTCAACTGGGCATAAATGATGTTGTGGCTGGTGGTATGGAAAACATGTCGAGTGTACCTAAGTACTTGGCAGAAGCAAGGTCAAAATTGATATTAACGCGTACTTGATAGTTTTCTTAAGATTAGTTATTTTGTTGAAATAAATTGATTAAATGCCAACATTTCAGAAAAGGATCCCGCCTTGGACACGACTCACTAGTTGATGGGATGTTGAAGGATGGTTTGTGGGATGTCTATAAGGATGTTGGTATGGGAGTGTGCGCTGAACTCTGTGCGGATAACCGAGAAGACCAGGTATTTTGTTATTGATTTCTGTTCAGATAGGTTTTGGCACAATCATTCTATATATTATTGCTGATATCTGCGTTTTTCGCACAGGATAATTTTGCAGTTCAGAGTTTTGAACGTGGAATTGCTGCTCAAGAAAGTGGTTCCTTTGCTTGGAAAATCTCTTTATCTGTGAAATACTAATATGAAATGAACTTGCTACTCCATTTGATATCTCCAAAGGCCACACTACTGTATCCAGAGAACTTTTACTTATGAAAAGGAATTCTTTTGTCTATATTTTCAAGATGTGGTAGGTAAACACTGACCATTTGAACTTACCTGTTGACACAAATACTTGTGAGATTATCTAGAAGAGAATCACATACGAAAACAACTTATATCTTATAAAAATATAGTATGGTTTTGTTTTATATTTTGTTATAGAATAGTTATACATAAGCACTTATTAGATAAGTAGTTTTGTAATAAGTGCTTAATTAAATTGTTCATTGTCCATTTGTGCTACTTCAACTTGAGTCATGTTTGATTTCATTTTTTCCAGTTGATTTTCACTAGCATCATAACAATGACAATGTTCCTACGAAGCGCTTAATTAAGTTGTTCTAGTGAGAAACTGAGTTGTTCCATCAAAACTCATCATGAGTTTTTGCATTTTGATATGAACAGACCTTGTCTTTTGTCAGTAACTTATGTGTGTGGTTTAGCATGTTGGTTGTAGACTGCTGTTTGAACTT